AAACATTAATCATTGTGGTATCCATGAATGATTTAGGTACCATACGAAACCACAACCTTTGGTAAATGAAAATGTACCTATGCAAACAACACAGTAATATGTACCACATGTTAACATAGTTATAGGTACCACATGTGTTTGCATAGATACATTCCCATTTCCAAACTGCTTGCAGACACATTAATCACTGTGGTATCCATGAATGTTTTAGGTACCACATGTGTCCACAACCTTTGGAGAATGAAAATGTACCACATGATACCACAACCTCCATAACATCTACATTTAYTTCATGAGAATTGRMATATACACTATCTTCATCAAATTGACATGAATTGAAGAATCAATAGAATTTTTACCATTGTTTTTCATTACGTTATCAATCTCCAGGATGAATTTTTTGCAGAAAAAAATTATTGATTTCACATTCTTAAATATTATGGATACAATCTTCAATAAATATGTGTGATTTCATGTAATTTATCAGAATCATGAACATGTTTGCACAAACGGATTAATTTTTTTGAAATTATTTCACTAAATCTTATCAATATTTTATTTTTGGAATGCAAATCAATATTAATTATTTTATTTGAAACGGTTGCATTTTAAAATTTAAATTTAATTTTAAATTAAGAATTGACTAACATACCCTTTTAATTTGATTTTAATTGTATAATTAATATATTAAAATGATTGGTTGAGATTAGTTCTCACAGTTACCACAAACAACTCAGTTCTCCCTTGAATAGGCCCCTATATATATATATATATATATATATATATATCTGATTTTCATTTAGCATCACCAAGAACTTCTAATCCAATTTCTACATTGGAAAAAAATTATCTTCTTCTCAAGAATCAATGTCAACACCCATCGAAAAGGTTAGAGTACATGTTTTTTTGCGGATGTTCGTGGCAGTTAGTTAACAGGTGGTAGATTATATTCAAGAAACTCAAAAAGCGTTTGTGTTGTTGCCGATAAACTTAATATTTTCAGGTTTAATCAATTATTTGACGAGAAAATTAAACTTACCAGATTTACATAATCGTTTTAAGTTAAGGTATAAATCTTCGTTATCTGTTGCGATTCTCGAGTTATATTAAAGGTGAAAGTGATGGTTTGTGTAGAAATAAAAAATGATGGTAGAAAATTTTTATTGGTGATGATGGTAAACAAAAATGGAGATTATATTGTATGATGATTTAGAGAGAAAAAAATATTGTATCAGGAAAGAAAAGAATACATTGGAAATGAAAAAAGTGGGTGGAAGTGGGCCCCTTACACGTCGAGAGGCGCGCTTCTCCTTATGTGGCGCGTAACCGGGTTGAGTAGTCCCATCAAATCACAAAAGTCGAGTCTTTGTGGGTCCCATCATATTAAATCATGTTTGAAAAGACGACATTTGACAAAAAAGGAAGGGGAGTGCTAATGGCACCCCTTAGTAGGGGGTGTTGATTTTCTTGGAATTTGAACTCATCAACTTTTTTTATAAACATCAACTCAATAATTATATATTTATATTTTATTAATTTTTGTTTTATTTTATATATTTACATTAGAAAAATATATATTATTTTATTATTT